TCCTGCACCACGACGCGCACCCGCGCCTGGCCGCTGAGCGCGGGCGAGCCGCGGTCCGTGGCGCCCACCAGGAAGTCGAAGGCGCGCAGCGCCTCGTAGTCGAGCGAGCGCAGCGCGAACAGCTGGCCGGTGTCGGCGTTGACGGCCACGAGCGCGGCGGGCGGCGGGGTGCGCGCGGCCGGCGGGCAGCAGCGAGTAGGTGAGCTGCGCGTTGGAGCCGCGCGTCGGCGTCGGTGGCGCGCACGCTGCCGATGTGCAGCGCGGGGCTGTTGTTCTCGCGCACCAGCAGCGTGTAGGCGCTCTGGCTGAAGGCGGGGGCGTTGTCGTTCACGTCGGACACCAGCACGGTGATGTGGTGCTGGGTCCTCAGCCTGGGGGTCCCCATGTCCGTGACCGTGATCGTGATGTTGTACTCCGATGTTAGCTCTCTGTCCAGCGGCTTCTCTGTTACCAGGGTGTAAAAGTTTTCCAAGGAAGATTTTAGGATAAACGGTAGATCTTCCTGAATGAAGCAACTTATTTTCCCATTTTCTTCCGAATCAAGATCTGAAACACTGAACACTGCAACCACAGTCTCGGAGAGTTCTCAGGGATCTGTCTGGTAAATGAGGACATGATGACTTCTGGGGCATTGTCATTCACATCGACGACTTGAGTCAGAACAGTGCATTTTCCTGACAAGCTTCCAGCATCTCTGGCCTCAACATTGATCTCATAGGATTGAGTTGTTTCGAAGTCAAGTTGTTTTTTCAGTTGAATTTCTCCTGTCATAGCATCTATCTCAAAGGTTTTGCTAATCTCCTTTGAAGCCTGGAAAAGGGAATAGGAAATCTCTCCATTGATTCCTATATCTTTATCTGTAGCAGAGACCGTGGTGATCAAGAATCCTAGGGGACTGTCCTCAGGGATCTGCACCCTATAGAAAGGTTGCTCAAATTCAGGGGCATTATCATTGATATCCATGACTTCGATGTAGACCTGAGTAGTACCAGACTGGGGTGGAGAGCCGCCATCCTGAGCTGTGAGGGTTAACCTGACTTCAGGTTCCTCCTCACGATCCAGTGCTTTGTCCAGCACCAGCTCAGGATACTTCTTGCCATCGCTGCGTTTGCGGGTGAGGACCCGAAAATAGGAGTTGGGACTTATTATATAGTTCTCTATATTATTTTGGCCTACATCCACATCCTGAGCGTTCTTCAGAGGGAATGTAGTCCCGGGAGGGCTGCTCTCTGATTTTTTAGCAGCATATCTTTGTCTAGGAACACGGGAGCATGGTCATTTATGTCTATTACTTGTAACTCAGCTTGAAAAAATGCCAAGGGATTTTCTAGCAATACCTGGAAACGCAGCACACAGGGCTCTGTGTGACCACACAATTCCTCACGGTCCAGTTTCTCATTTAGCATCAGAGCCCCTGTCTCCAGATTGAGCTGCAAATGCAATTTGTTGCCTTTGGAAATCACCCTAGCCCCTCTCCTGGAGAGTTCTCTCTGCCCGAGACCCAGGTCCTTTGCTAAATTGGTTATAAAGGAACTCCCCTCGGTTTCCTCCACTACAGAATAGCGCCTAAATTCCGTGCCCGCAGAGCTAAGCCCAATAGAAGAAAGAAGAAAACAACTTGCCTTTGGCTGCAAATGAGCTTCCCGCTGGCCTCCATTGTTCTTCCTTTCTATAGACTCCAGCGAGGGTGCCCCTGAACCGTAAAGACCTCCAAATCTGAGACGATGCTTAATATACAAAAGATCTTGGGTATATTCCGGTGAGTAGTCCTTTTTAGAGGATCCACTCGCTCTGTGACATCCAAGGTTCCTGTGGGCTCCCTGGCTTTGTTGGTAAATTTTGCCTGCTGTTGGAGCAGCAGACTCAGTTCTGGTTTTTTACCTTCTTATCCTGCAGCGCCACCATGTGTCTTCATAGGGTTTTACGTTTTCTGGGATTAAGATGGATGCACTATTCCTAATTCTTTCTATAGATAAGTAAGGTTACAATACTACTTTCACTATCACAGGACCTTTGGGCCAAGGCAAAACAAGAGGAACGTATGAGAACCACACAAGAGAAATAACATGAGTAGGGCCTTTTTTGCTTTCAATAATGCAAATTGAATTTGTGGCAAAAAGAAAATATGGACCAGCTTGCTGGGAAGGATATATACAAGAAATTAAAAACATACAATTAGGTATCACTGACAATGTTTAGAATTATATACTTTTATTGCCTCGATATATGGGAATAATCAGTAACTATATACCTTGGACAAATTATTTAACCTCTCCCTCAGTTTCCTGCTCTGTAAAATGGAGATAGTAATACCTACTAGATAGGTGTACCTATCAGATAGGGTTGCTGTGAACTGCCCACCTTAGAGATAAGGAAATTGAGGCAGAGAGAAATTAATCTTATACATACACACAGAGAGACAGAGAGAGACAGAGAGAGAGAGAGAGAGAGAGAGAGAGAGAGAGAGAGAGGAGTCATGTCATTTGATGGCACCAGGTAGCTCCGTTTACATAAGTCCATTGCCATGATTAGAAAACACCCAAGATTCAGTCAGCAGTAGAATGCATATGAATTCATGAGCCACATTATCTCAGAAGTTATCAAGTCAAAATTGTGAAAGAGAAGGCTTAGAGAATTTTTTCTAATATAATGTCTGATAACAGTGGTAATTCTGATATGCTATTTTAGTTAACTCCACTTTTTATGAGTGAATTTTAAGTTACATTATTTGAAAAAATTCAAATCCAAAGCAGGAAATAAGCCTCTGAGTACTCACAACTAGTTTCATAATTACCAATATTTTGCATAATCACCTTATTCCCCAGTATTTTTATATCCCAGACAAACTAAATTTTTACCCACGAATACTTCATTATACATTTTGAACTTTAAATGACTTAAAAATACCATGCCAATTCCACACCTAGAAATTTTAGTTAATAATATTTTAATATCTATTATCAGATTCTCCATTCTTTCAAAGTCATTGTGGTTGTTTCAAACAAGATCCACCATGCTTGCATTTGGTTGGTATGTTTTTAATTTCTTTGATTGTGTAAAGGTCCTTCCTCCTTTTTTTCTGTGCCATTGCTGTGTTGGAAAAACTATAATATTGTCTTCACCTTATGTTTTGGGCTGTGAGGTATTTATTGTTTTTTTTGTCCTTGGACTATATGCATTAGTAATGCATAATACTAGCACTACTTTAAGACTTACCAATCTCACATATTAAGAATAGAGCTATGCAAAAAATTATCTGGATATTTGCTAACTAAAGAAAGAGCAGCTATGGGGCCTCCCCGGTGGCACAGCGGTTGAGCGCTGGGTTGCGATGCTGCCCGCGGCCTCTGCGGCGCCGGTTCGATCCCTGGCTGCTCCCCGGCCACCGGAGGAGGGTCCCACATGGCGCGCACAGACCCCTCCTGCCGCCGCTGCTCCCCTCAGCAGTGTACTTCAGTCCTTCTGCCTGCTCTGCTCCCCACTCTGGCTATGGTGAATTCTCCCACCCTCCCGCGCTTCTGACTGTACCCAGTGCTTGTATAAAAACAAACAAAAATAAATAAATAAAAAGAAAGAGCAGCTATGAATTAATGTAACGAACCTTAATTTCCCCAGAATCTCTAATTAATTTAATGATAATTTGTTTCTCATTAATTTTACATGTAAAACTATTCTTATATCTTCCCCATTCATTACTGCATTATATTGAACAAGAAGCTTTTAAAAAATAAACTTTCAGGCCTCCCCGATGGACAAGCAGTTGAGCACTGGGTTGCAAAGCTGCCAGCAGCCTCTGCTGCGCCGGTTGGATCCCCGGGCGCCTGGCGAGGGTCCCACATGGCAGCTCCGGTTCAATCCCTGGCCGCTGGGTGAGGGTCCCACATGGCGCGCAGACCTTTCATGCCTCCCGCTTCTCCCCCTCAGTAGTGTACTTCGATCCTTCTGCCTATTCTGCTCCCTGCTCTGGATCTGGTGAATTCTCTCACCCTCCTGCACTTCTGACTGTACCCAGTGCTTGTATAAATAAATAAAAATAAATCTTAAAAAAAGTAAACTTTCAAATTAAAGAGGAAAAGGCATTGTAAAGGCATATAGGGACAACTGCACAAAACTAATGTGAAGAGAATACTAAACTGAACCAAACAAAATTATGTAATATTTCTATGCAGAGCCATTATCTTGCCTGTGAAATGAAGGTCATGTGTTCAGATAACAAGGAAAAGGCATGGATTCATCTTTCAACATTTTTACTTGAGCTTTAGATCAGAAATTTTAATAATAATAGTTGAACAGTTGATTCAGAAAAGCTGGATTATTGGTTTATAAGGAAATAAAGCTGTGTAGTGTAGTGTATTACATAGATACACTATACATACACTGTTAATTCAAATATAGAAAAGACTGAGCAAGAAGATGAATATGAGAAAAAAGTTCCTACCTAATAAGGGTGGAACTTGTCAGGTGATACATGATGGTGCATAGTGTCATAGCAAGATTCCAGAGTTGGACAGAAGGTGGAGAGATGCAGCTCTGCCATTTATTAGTGGTGACTTTGTGAACCTGCCCAACATCTACTTGCTCATTTCTGAAATTTCTCCCCTTTTAAGATTCAGTGTTAAAATAGTGAATGGAGAATAGTAAGCACATTTTTTTAAACTGTAATAAAAGAGACTCTACAATCTGTGCTCCTAAAATGTAGAGTGGAATCACTTATACAGCACTCTAATAAATCAGGGGAAAGTAGAAAAAAAAAGTTTGATGGCAATGAAAAATAATGTAAACATCTCGATCAGGATCTATCATGTAACAGCCTACACATCATGCATGAAAAAAGACATGACACATGCATGGCTTCCTGTGTAGAGGATCCTTAGGGCTAAAGTTGGATCCTTTCTAAAGCAAAGGTATTTGTTCTATGACTTTAAGAATATTTGAAAAAAAAGTAAAAGCACTCCTCTAGAGGTAATTCAGGATAAATTTCTTAATAGGAATATACTCACAGATAGATGACAGCATTTATATATTTCATTCTTTATCAGAAACTCAAGTCATTTCGGATTGAGGGATTTTCTTCTGTACCTCTTCCTGTGCACTGGTACTGCAGGTTAGGAATAACTGGTTTTAAGAATTTGAAGTCGCTGGTTCCAGTGCCTCCCGTCAGGCACACCTCATACTGGTAGCTGTGGGACAGCGTCCCGGCGCCGCCCACGTCCACCAGGCGGCCCGGGAAGGGGCCGTCGGGCCCCAGCGAGCCCGCGCGCGCGCCGGCCCCGCGCCTCCCGCACAGGCGCGCGGCCGCGAAGGCGAGCGCGCACAGGAGGAAGAGCGACGACACGGCGGCCAGCGCCACCACCAGGGACGCGGTGAGGCGGTCGGCCTGCGCGGCGGGCGGCGGCGCGTCGGGCGGCGGCAGGTAGGGCTGCGAGAAGCCGTCGACCAGCAGCACGTGCAGCGTGACGCTGGCCGACAGCGGCGGCTCGCCGTTGTCCTTGACCAGCACGACCAGCCGGTGCTTGGGCGCGTCGCGCTCGCGCCCAGCGGCCTGGCGGTGCGCACCTCGCCGTTGTGCGCCCACACGCCGAACAGCCCGGGCTCCGTGGCCCTGAGCAGCTGGAACGACAGCCAGGCGTTCTGGCCCGCGTCGCCGTCCACCGCCACCACCTTGGTGACCAGGTAGCCCGCGTCGGCCGCGCGCGGCACCAGCTCGGGGCAGGGCGCCGAGGCGTTGGGCGGCGGGTAGAGCACGGAGGGCGCGTTGTCGTTGGCGTCCTGCACCACGACGCGCACCCGCGCCTGGCCGCTGAGCGCGGGCGAGCCGCGGTCCGTGGCGCCCACCAGGAAGTCGAAGGCGCGCAGCGCCTCGTAGTCGAGCGAGCGCAGCGCGAACAGCTGGCCGGTGTCGGCGTTGACGGCCACGAGCGCGGCGGCGGCGGCGGTGCGCGCGGCCGGCGGGCAGCAGCGAGTAGGTGAGCTGCGCGTTGGAGCCCGCGTCGGCGTCGGTGGCGCGCACGCTGCCGATGTGCAGCGCGGGGCTGTTGTTCTCGCGCACCAGCAGCGTGTAGGCGCTCTGGCTGAAGGCGGGGGCGTTGTCGTTCACGTCGGACACCAGCACGGTGATGTGGTGCTGGGTCCTCAGCCTGGGGGTCCCCATGTCCGTGACGCTGATCGTGATGTTGTACTCGGCCTGCTTTTCTCTGTCCAGCGGTCTCTCTGTTTCAAGGGTGTAGTAATTCTCTACAGATTGCTTCAGGACAAAGGGGAGATCATCTTGGATGGAGCACACCAACTTTGCATTATTCCCTGAATCTCTGTCTCTAATCCTAAAGACAGCTACTACAGTCTTTGGAGAATTTTCTGAAATTGGGCTAGTAAGTGATGACATGAGCAGTTCCGGTGGATTATCATTAACATCTGTTACTTGAACCACCACAGTACATTTTCCAGAAAGTCCTCCACCATCTTTGGCCTGAACAGTTAATGTATAGTTTTGTATTGCCTCATAGTTCAGTTCAGCTTTAAGATGAATTGTGCCAGATGTTGGATCTATTTGAAACGTTTTGAGAATTTTGTCAGTTGCATAAAAAAAATGCATAAACTATTTCCCCATTACTTCCGGCATCTAAATCTCTAGCTGACACGGTGACAACTAGTGAGCCAACCGGGCTATTCTCAGCCACCTGCACTTTGTAGAGCAACTGAACAAATTCAGGGACGTTGTCATTTGTGTCCACAACCTCGATCCGTACGAGAGCGGTCCCGGATCTAGGCGGAGAGCCGCCATCCAAAGCCGTGAGGGTTAAACTGAGCTCAGGCACCTCTTCTCGGTCCAGAGCTCTATCCAGTACCAACTCAGGGTAGATACTCCCCTCACCACCGTCATGGACATTGATATGGAAATAGGTGTTGGGGCTGATTGTGTAGTTTCTCAGATTGTTGATTCCAACATCCGCATCTTGTGCACTCTCTAGGAGAAATGCTGCTCCTGGAATGGTACTTTCTAATATTTTCAAGGGAATCTCTCTGTCCAGAAATACTGGCGAATGATCGTTGATGTCGCTGACCCACAATTCAGCACGGAAAATCTGAAAAGGCTTTTCCAGTAACAACTGGAAAGGCAGCACACACGGCTCTGTGGGGCCGCACAGCTCCTCTCGGTCTAATTTCTCATTCAGCAGTAAATCACCAGTAAGTGGATTGAGCAGTAAAAATAGTATGTTCTGATCTGAAACAATTCTAGCTCCCCGGGCTGACAGTTCCCCTGCCCCTAACCCAGATCTTTTGCTAGGTTGGCCAGAAAGGTGCCTCTCTCCGTTTCCTCAGCCACAAAATACCGAAGCGGCTCCGCAACAGCCCAAGACACTCCCAGAAATACACAAAGAAATAGGACTTGCCTTTTCTGCCCAGCACGCTCCGCTCTAGACTCCATTCTCCTTTAAAAACACTGGTCCTCAGGCAGCTCTCAGAAATGGCAACTGAGTCCTTAGAAATGAGCTTATAATACCAGTGCTTGTGGGGAGGGATCCCCCAATTTCCCCCAACTCCTGTCAGCACGGTTTTCTTTACTCTTGTCTGGTCGGCTTTCCTTTTAATGCTGGAATCTGCAACACCCTTTGTGCAAATTTCCCCCCTCTTTTTAGCCAGCAGCGCCACCTTGCGTTATGTGAATGTTATTCCCGTTTTTAAGGCTAGAACAGAAAAACATGGCGGGTTGATGGTACTGCAACAGGAGTGATTTTTTTCGCCCAGTGTTTTGCTGTTTCATTTCATGTTTCCCTTCAAATCATCAGTGATGCCAGTAAGTGTTTTATCGCTTTACTCTGATATTTTGAATTCATAGAGAATCAAATCTGTTATTTATCTTAATTTAGAGCACGAAATTCAAGAGCAAATCTTAAGGAAACCTCCTGTTTTAAAAATCGATAGTAAAGAGTATATAAGAAAATGAAGCGTCCATCAAAAAGCCAACAAATATTAGAGAAAGAGCTTTTATTTATTTGTAAACTGCTTTAACAAAAATGCTTTCATACTGCTGAGTAACTAGCCTTTTTTCCATTTTTCTTTAACTTATGAATTAAGTAATCCCTCCAGTTTCAAGGTCTTTATCCATAATTTTTTGAAGCACTTTTTATACCTCATTGTCCACCCTTCATTCTCATTAGGTATTATGTATAAAATGTTTATATATGATTTCTATGACTAATATCTCCAAGAACATGCAGTAAACACTCTTAAAATTAACAGTAGTATGCAGGTCATCCTTGCCTTTGTGGAAGCACTCCTAGTATTTCATCTTTAACTATGATGGTTGAACTTGATTTGGGGTAAATGTTCCTTTTTGGATCAAGAAGGTTTTATTTCATATTTTAAAAGTCATTTTGACATCTGTTAAAGCTGTACTTTTTCCTTTAACTTTTTATCTCAAACTCTTGATATGAATGCCATTTAATTGTGACACAGAATTATTATTTTATTGCACATATGGATTTGATGTGTCAATAAGCTTTTAGGATTCTCCCAGTCCACATTGCTCTGTCTGTGTGTGTTGTATATGTTAATTTCTATGGTTTTTGTATGAAATTATCCTGCCTTCATAGAATTGATTAGCAGGTTTTCCCTGTATTTTCATGTAGCAGAAGAGTTTTTATAATGATATAATCATCTATTTCTAATGACTAATTACACCTTTTTCCTTACATGAGTTGGTTTGTTGGCTTTGGTGGTGGTAAATCCATGACTGTTGTTCCCATTTTACTTTTGGTTATTAATCTATCCAGGTTTTGTTTCATTTTAAAGTAACCAGTATTTTATTTTAAAACCATCCAGTTTGTCTGTATTTGTGAATTTCTTTGTGTTATGTTTTCACTGAATTTATCTTTAGTTATATCTTTATTCCTGTCAGTAGTGCTCAGTAATTTTTCCAGAGATTTAAATCATCTTTGCTTTTCTTAGTAAGCCTTAGTTTAGAAAAATGCCATTGGTAAGATGGAAAATGTTAAATATTTGGTTTCTATAGGACTATACAGCTCTAAGAACTGATTTTTGCTTTCCTTGTTCTTACTTGCATATCTGAATTTCTTTTTTATCTTATTTTAAATTTTTAAAATGGAAGTAACAGTGCATTATAAGATTATTTAAGTGTCAGGTGTGCATCACTGAAAATCAATGTGTATATATTCTGCATTAAATTCACCACTAAAATTCCAAGTCTGTCCTTCACCATGTAATGATCTCATTTGTCCTGATTTACCCACTCCATCTTCCATCCCTTCTCGGCAACCACTAATTGGTCTATCAGTGGTTGTTTTTTGTTTCAATTTTTGTTTTAATTAGTTCATCTGCTTGTTTTCTTTATGTACAACATATGAGTGAAATAACACAGTGTTTGTCTTTCTCCATCTGCTTATTTCACTAAGCATATACCTTCTAGGTCCTTCCATGTTGTTTCAAATGGCAGGATTGCATCTTTTTTATAGCTGAATAGTATTCCATTGTGTATATAGACCACATCTTTCTTTGCCCTGGTTTTTAGTCAATAGACATTTAGGTTGTTTGCTGTCCTTGGCTATTGTAAATATTGCTGCAGTAACCACAGGTGTGCATGTATCACTTTGATTTAGGATTTTTTATATTTTTGAGTAAATACCAAGAAGTGGGATAACTGGATTGTATGGAATTTACATTTTTAGTTTTTTGAGGCCTCTCCATAATGACTGTATCAATTTTCCTTCAAACCAATAGTGTATAAAGGTTCTCTTCTCTCCACATCCTCTCCAACACTTGTTGTTTTTTTTTGTTGTTTCTTGTCTTTTGGATAATAACCATTCTTATAAGTGTGAGGTAATGTCTCAATTGTTCTTTGATTCATGTTTCCCTAATAATGAGATGATGAACATTTTTTTCATGTGCCTATTGGCCTTTTGCATGCCTTTTTTTGAATTATCTGTTCAGATCCTCTGCCACTTTTAAATTGCATTGTTTTCTTATTGAAATTTATAAATTATGTGTATATACACATACTATATTAACAACTTGTTGAATGTATGATGTACAAATACTTGTCCCATTCAGTAGGGTGCCTTTTCATTTTGATGAGGCAAGTTTCTCTCACTGTGCAGAGGCTTTTTAGTGAAGTAGTCCCATTGGTTTGTTTTTGGTTCCCTTGCTATTGAAAAAGTCACCAAACGTTTCTCTAATGCTGATGTCAAGGAGCATATCTCCTATGTGTTCTTCTATTTATTTTGTGATTTCAGTTCTTGCATCCAAGTGTTAAATCCAGTTTGAATTAATTTTTTAAAAAAGATTTATTTATTTTTATACAAGAACTGGGATACAGGCCAGATGTACGGGAGGGTGAGAGGATTCACCAGAGACAGAGCCGGGAACAGGACAGGCAGACTGAAGAAACACTGCTGAGGGGAGCAGCGGGCGAGACAGGAGAGGTCTGCTGTGCCATGTGGGCTTCTCACCAGCCAGTCGGCCGGATCAAACCCGCGCTACAGAGGCTGCCGATACCTTTACAGTGCGGCGCTCAACCGCCTGCGCCACCAGGGAGGCCCATAGTTTGAATTAATTCTTGGGTTTGTTATTTTTTTTAAAGATTTATCCATTTATGCATACAAGAACTAGGGTACAGGCCAGAGGGGTGTGTGTGTTGAGGTGGGGTGGGGGAGGTGAGAGGATTCACCAGAGACAGAGCCAGGAACAGAACAGGCAGACCGGGGCCTCCCTGGTGGCTCAGAGGTTAAGCGCTGGGTTGGCCGCAGCCTCTGCAGCGCCTGCTCGATCCCTGATCCCTGGCCTCCGGGCTGGCCAGGGTCCCACATGGCCTGCGCAGACCTCTCCTGCCGCTCGCTGCTCCCCTCAGTGTATTTCATCAGTCTGCTCTGGCTTTGGTGAATTCTCTCACCCTCCCGTGCTTCTGACTGTACCCAGTGCTTGTATAAAAAAATAAATAAATAAATAAATAAATAAATAAATAAATAAATATTTAAAAAAAAAAAGGCGGACCTACTGAAACACACTGCCGAGGGGAGCAGCGGGCGAGCCAGAAGAGGTCCGCTGCGCCACGTGGGAAGTTCCCTGGCTGGGGATCGAACTCGTGCTGCAGTGGCTGCAGACAGCTTCACAGGTGGCATCCCAACCCCTTGTGCCCAGGGAGGCCCTTTGGTTTATTATTAAATAATAGTCTAGTTTCATTCTTTTGCATGTGAATGTCTAGTTTGACCATTAGCAATTATTGTTGTGACTTTCCTTCCTCCATTGTAAGTGCTTTCCTCTGTTGTCGTATATGTCCCACAACTTCTTGATCCAGTCATCTATTTTTGGGCATTTGGGTTGTTTCCATAGCCTAGCTATTGTAAATAGTGCTGCTATAAACATAGGGGTACAGGTGCCCTTTTGAATTAATGTTTCTGTGTCTTTTGGGTAAATACCTAGGAGTGGAATTGCTGGATCATATGGACACTCCATCTTTAGCAGGTTGAGGAATCTCCACACAGCTCTCCATAGTGGTTTGACCAGTTTGCACTCCCACCAGCAGTGCAGGAGAGTTCCTTTTTCTCCACACCCTCACCAACATTTGTTGTTGCTAGTTTTTTATAATATGTGCCATTCACTGGTGTAAGATGGTACCTCATTGTAGTTTTGATTTGCATTTCCCTAATTACAAGTGATGTTGAACATTTTTTCATATGCCTGTTGGCCATTTGCATTTCCTCTTTGGAGAAGTTTCTTTTTAGCTCTTCTGCCCACTTTTTGACTGGATTATTTACTTTGTTTTTGTTGAGTCTCATCAGCTCTGTAGTTTTTTGTGATCAGTCCTTTATCATTAGTGTTGTGTGCAAAAATTTTCTCCCAGTTGGTGGGGTGTCTCTTTGTTTTGGTTACTGTCTCTTTTGCTGTACAGAAGCTCTTTAATTTGATGTAGTCCCAGCTGTTTATCTTTGCCTTCACTATCACTGCTTTGGGTTATGCGTCTTTAAAGATGTCACTGAGGTGTATGTCATGTAGTGTTTCGCCTATATTTCCTTCTATATATTTTATGGTTTCAAGTCTTATGTCTAGTTCCTTAATCCTTTTTGAGTTGGTTTTGTGCATGGTGTGAGGTAGTAGTCAAACTTCATTCTTTAGCATGTAGTGACCCAGTTTTCCCAGCACCATTTATTGAACAGACTTTCTTTGCTCCATTGCATATTCTTTGCTCCTTTGTCAAAGATTAGTTGACCATAAATCTGTGGGTTTATTTCTGGATTTTCTATTTGGTTCCATTGGTCCATATGTCTGTTCTTGTTACAGTACCATGCAGTTTTGATAATTATGGCTTTGTAGTATAGTTTGAAGTCTGGGAGTGTGATACTTCCATTCCCTTCTTTTTTTATTTTTTTTAAAATGTTTTTATTTTTTTTAATAGAGGCATGTTTTGTTTATTTATTTATTTATTTATTTGTTTGTTTATACATGCACTGGGTACAGTCAGAAGCACCGGAGGGTGAGAGAATTCACCAGAGCCAGAGCAGGGAGCAGAGCAGGCAGAAGGACCGAAGTACACTGCTGAGGGGAGCAGCGGGAGGCAGGAGAGGTCTGCGCGCCATGTGGGACCCTCCTCCGGTGGCCGGGGAGCAGCCGGGGATCGAACCGGTGTGGCAGAGGCCGTGGGCAGCTTCGCAACCCAGC